GCAGGCGCGATATGTTAGAGGGCTATGTCGCGCTTGCCGAGTCCACGGGTCCGTTAGGTCCATAGCCCTTCCTGGGTTGGAGCAATAGCACTAGATCTGTTGTAGGGAGTGGGAACATAACTACCGATTCCGCTACTTAATTTCAGATTAATGTGGTTTCCTTTTATGGAATTGCAATCAGGAATAACCCTCCCAGTTCTTCGATGATGAATGTTTTTCATTCGAGCCTGGGTAAACCGGCAATGTGCTTATTTGAGCGGCACGTCATTTAAATTATGCTTTTCATTATCTCCATCGGCATCATCCCCCTTCTTTTCCAAATATGACTCTTCAACGTATTGATCGGGGCCGTTGTCGTTTATTGTCCATGAGCTGCGGTGGTCGTTCGTGGCCGTGGCGTCTCGTCGTCGCACCAGGCGGCAACTCGACATGAATACTAAATTAGCGCTTTGTTAGACGTGTGTGTGCGACGGCGTCGGCGCTGGCTGCTGCTGACAACGGACAATGGATTACCTTTGTTAGACGGAACGAGTAAAGTCAGACAAATCATGCGTTACCCGCCTCGCATTGTAACGAATTCCAAGTGTTCAGTTGTCGGTATTGGAATTGGAGCCAGCAAAGAGTTATCGGCTGTTGCTCGATGATGAAATAGCTAGGCTGTGGGCTAGTAGACCGACTGACATGTTATGCTAAAGCTACTTTGATTAGGAGGCTCCAGGAAAAGTACTAGAGCCATCTAATTCAAGCGGAGTACCCAGAAGTACCCAAGAAGATCTTAACAGCACAGTGTCATGTACTTCATTGCCTAGTAGTAGAGATAATGTCGGATACGTTGGTTTATCAGTTCGATCCCGACGCCAAAAAATGGCATCCTTCGGGCCCTGATGCAGAATTTACTAATTTTGTGGGCAATTTTGAACTCCATCAGAAATCAGTCCTGGGCGAGACCCTTATTTGATTGGCCATTAGCCGCTCAGTTTTGGCTTTCCTTGCAAGATTTGTCTTGGTAGGAGCCGCTGACTTGGAAATGTTGCTCTTTTTAGTTCATTTTGTGTTGCCACGTCTTACTGTGAAGGAGATAGCTTAAAGTCTAGGGACTCTTGCAATCAATAGGTCCAGACCCACCTTTGTGAACTGTATATTACGTTGTCGTGAGCTCAATAATCAAGATCGATCATGCTGTAAGTCCGTAATAAGGACCGATCTAAGAAGACAACAACTTTGATGTAAACTTGGGTGGTTCTTCCAAAACGATTCGTCGGGTATGACCAGTTTATTCGCAATTTTCATCACGTAAATAGGGAATTTCCAACGCTGATCAGGCACTTCAGAATGCGACATGCGTTCTACAATCTTTGAGATTGACAGGTCTACATAGTAGGGCACTAAAAGAGGAAGATTTTAAAACAAGTGGTATAGGACTGTGGGAAAGGCTCCATTCCTACCTTCACCGCTGAAAGTATTGTACGAGGAGCGTTATACGGCTTCCCTCCAACTTCTATCCTGGAAAAGCATAGATATCTTTTGAGAAATTCTAATCGCAAGGCCTATGGGTTTGTAGTTGGGAGGGGAACAAGGGTGGCGCCAAAGACTTCCCTGCTTACCTTGAAATTCTTGGACCTAGCTTCAGTTCTAGTATAGCTGAATGAAAGGGTGACGCGAAACTTTGTTGGCTGTGATGAAGTGTAGGTATTGATTAGCTGCCTGAATCGATATACGCGATGTGATAGATAGCCACAAAAGTAACTACTCAGTCTCCATAGTGAATGGGTTTTCATTGCGCTTTAGTAAAGGTCCATTTGTAGCAGTTTCCACAAGTTGAGGTAGGCTTCCCTTGAGTTGTCCGCTTCGAATTGCTCGCTATTAGTGCAACTTGGGCACGAATGTTGCACGGGAATAGTTCTTGTGGAGCTGTACTTGTATGTATGTTGAAATTGATTTTATTCCAACACGCTTCAGCAGTAATGGTGGTTTTTTGGATGTTGTTGAGTGTTGAACCGTGACCGATGGGACACAAGGGTAATTATCTCAGCACGCAACGACAGCCACTAAAAAAGGGCGCAATTTTTATTTAATGCCAGGAATGGATGGATTGATGGATGAATGGACAGAAAGGCCTCGTTACCAGTGCTGCTCTTTAATGTTGTTTTCTAGTCTATTTTTACTCTTCGGAGAATGTCTCTAGGAACGGAGTCTGGATTGACCCAATAAATGAATCTTCCTTATTCTGGACTGAGCCTTGCATCTGTCTTTTCGGAGAGATTGTGGAAGCGATTATATGAGCGCAGGGTTTGTGATATAGGTTCTGGAGAGGAGTTTTTCATTTGGACCATTATTCATGAGGAGTTAAGAGAGGTAGCGTTGTGCCAAGGAACTCTACTTGCTTTCAACTGTCTCAGGAAGAGTCAGTAGGCTTGGGGTGGGTAATTTCGATTTCTCTATGGGTCAGAAATCGTATCCTATATCACCTATTGTGGTCGTTCCTCTTTGGGACGGTGAAGAAGGTGTTTTCATCTGTCACATCCACCAAGTCCTTGACCAATCCGTGGTCCGAGTGGTTCCCGAACAGAGCACCCTTTCAAAAGGTAAGGTAGTAAGTAAGAAAAGTGTGAAGTACCGAAGATTGTCGGATCACCACCGGGTGCTGCCCTTTGCCCCGTTCATTTCGCATATCCTTTTCAAAATGTCTACGAGTGTCTCCCCCATAGGTGGGTCCACTACGGTAATAAAGACAGAATCAATGAAGAATATTTTAGTCGTACTTTCACGCGTATACTAACGAAATGCCGGAAGCCATACGTCGTCATGTCGATGAAGTAACAAACTGTGAAGATATTGCAATGAATTTCCTCGTCTCTCATCTCACACGTGAACCACCTATCAAAACGACTAGTAAATGGACAATCAGGTTTGTTTTTACCTTAGTTTTCCTTCAAATTATCCCCAATCCAGTTGGAAGCAATTTTTTATGATGACCGGGGTCTATTAATGGGCGAATTAGGTGAAGAGATTGATACAGTCCCTTTGAAAAGGACGGTATTGGTAATAGCGCAATGGAAAAGTCACAGAAATTGCGTAGTACGGCTCCGGAATGAACAAACTCCGCCCCTTTGTCGTAGCTCCGCCCATAGATGAAATGTAAGCAACATGCAATAGGCTACATGATGCATGATCATGTTTACGGTTGAGAACCAAAATAACACGCGAATGGGTATCTGGATCAGATACCCACTTGGATGCCAGCAAGAGGTTTCTCTGAGTCGTGTCTCGTCCATTTTTCCCTGATCATCATTTTCTCCCTTCCGAAAATAAGTTTTCATGAGGCGATTCCGCTCTCTCGGATTTCTAGATGTTTCTTCCTCGTCCTGTGTTTATGATAAACAACCAGGTACGATTTTTCCCTTTTTTCGGTGTCATTTCATAAATTTTCTTTTTCATAGATTCTTCCAGAAAACGGTAGGTTTGACTTTCTTTTTTTATACCCGATATTGATGCTCAGCTTTCTCGTTATGCTATTCCCTTGCATTCGATCATTTCATGACATGCGAATGCGTCTGCTGTTTTTGCTCATTTGAAGCCGTTTTCCAGCTAAGCCACTTAATGATTCATGAGCGCCAAGCCCAGTATTGGATGCTTTTTGTGGTGGGATGACAGATTTGCATCAAAATGGGTTTGTTACGGTATCTGAATCAGCAGGGAGCAGTTGTTTTTTCGAGTTCCTATGTAGAAGATAAAATTAGACCATTTTATCTAGTATGCATGAAATGGAGGGTGACTTTTCTCTGTGGGAGGCTGATAATGGAAAACCGTGCTGTTTACTTGTTGAAAGTCGGAGCTGAAAGATTGCTTCTGAAAAAGATAGATAAATTTGAGAGCAGGGCTAGTATGGTGGCCCCTAAATGGTCCCTGATCCTTGTTTCACTACAAACATTGAACGAGAATGGTAATCACCTTTCGAGTTTCCTGCTTGCGAAAGGAACCTTCGATCTTTGGGTTTGGTGGGTGATTGGCTGCTAAGGGTTGGATATATCATGGAGTAGGATATCTCTATGAAGAGAGGAATAAGGCCAGTCTCTGCTCGGAGGTGGTAACCAAATAGAAGCCAACCTGTTTTACCTGAACAAGTGTCAGTTACGACGTCGAGGTTATGTTGGTAAGCTCACAGCGGGTTGGATTGTCCTCTTTAGAAGGGTCAGGGTTGTGGAGGGCTTCCCTCATCCTTGGAAATCGCTGAGGTGGGTGAATAATATGGGCGAAATCGAGAGCAATTTGTCGCCGTTGATCATTTGTCCTTCCTTTTCATGGTAGAGCATGCAAGGCCTCCAGGCCCTAGTAAAGGGTTTAGACCGAGCCCTATACCCGAGGAAATGATTGAGCCCATAGTAGCATTGTCGGCTATAAAATGGCTAATCGCCCGTCTCTCTAGGTGTCCAACGTGCACGGAGACGTTGTCACAAGACGAATCACATTTCCGCGAACGACATGAATGTATACGTCTCTTCACAAGAATCTATGGATACAATCCGTTGAAGTGAGTCGCTAAAGCTTATTGATTTCCATTTGGAGAGTGGTGCAGAGTGAGGAGTTTCAAGAGGTTGTAATTAGGTGCCAATATTAATATAAATGAGCAATGTGGGCAGTTCTGATCAATAACGTGGGTAA